AAGCTGGGTTCGAGCTGAATGAAATTCAGGTGGACGGGATTTATTTTCTTAAAATTACAGTCCTTTAGCGTCTCAGGTCCTCCAGTTATCAACTTACCCAAAAAAAATTTTGGTGGGCTTGTATGTGGGTACCACGCTCACCCAGGGGCTGGGTTTGAGCTCACTAATACCCACATGGACGGGGAACATTACCCTAAGATTTCAGCGTTCTAGCTTCTAAGATCCCCGAGTTATGAACTTACCGCAAAAAAACTTTGGAGGGACCATACGCGGGTACCACGCGGGTGTTGGCGCCCATTTCGGGGACTGGGGCCGGCACGTGCATTTAGATTAAGTTCCCCGAAATTTCAGCTCCGCAGCTTTTACAGGTCTTGAGATGAAAGTGCGTGACAGACGCATAGACACACGGACACAGACAACCCCTCGTCAATATGCGTTTTCTGCATTGCATAGCTGCAAAAAACGCATAAAAGCGATCAGTCGAAGCTAGGCATACTCGCAAAATTACATCAGTGATGTTCCTCCCTTCAATATGGAAAGCGATCGTCGCGTTGTGCATGAGAAAATACTTATCATTTCAGCTGAGCACGCTAGTAAGCAACGACAAGAGAAATAACAAAAGCGGCGTAAATAATCCTACGAAGCAAATAATCCTATTTAGTTCAGAAAAATCGGATGGGAAGAAATGGAGCAACAGGACAAGAAAACCAAATCTAACGGCGATAAACGACTAGTATAAATACTTGCTACGCGAGCTGAGCACGCTCGTCACCAAGGTTTTGAGGATTTTCGAAGCAAGCTACAAAAACAAGAGTCATGAAAATGGGCAGAAACCAAAACAGTGAAACATTTTCTCTGTAGATACACCAGTCAAAAGCTGAAGGATAACCATGCTACCTAATCCAACTGTCGGAAAAAGTAGCTAAGACTCAAAAGATGTAGAGTTTAGAAAAGTACGAAAACGAGGCTGTTTTATAACATTTTCATTCCCCATCATACAGGAACGAAAAAACAGGCCCAGATTGCAAAAATGAGGCGAAAATGAAGGACATGTGAAGAGAATTACACATTGTTTGCGGCATGTACCAACATATTAAATACTATGGCTAAAAGCATGTTTCTGTGTGCTAATTAACACTTATTCAAAAAACAGTTTTTCGTTCCTTCAAAAACATGAAAAGTACCGTCGATGGGTTCCACGTGTGCCAAGTAACATTCAACTGCTTGAAATGGCAATGACACGAAATCCGTCCTGCAAACATCAATAAAATTATGCACTGCATCGAATATGCTAATAAGAAAAAAAAAAATCCGAGGCAATATTCATAGGGGAAGTATCAGAAAATAAGACTGGAAATGTAACAGCTTTGCCTTTAAACGAAAAAATCAATTATAGCAATAATACCAAAAATCGCACATGGAGATCTGATGCTAGTAATGTTACGCTTCCCCC